AGCCCAGGGCTGTGCCCGGTGCCAGCCCGGGGAGCCAGGCTGCCACCTCCCTGCCAGCTCACCAATGCCACCTGCTGGGACCAGGCCACCTCTGGAGGAGCAGAGAGGGGACACCAGCAGGAGGGAATGGGACAGCCTCTGGGGAAGGGGCACCAAGCTGCTGCTTCTGTCTGGCAGGGCAGGATTTGTCCCAGCTGTGCCCGTCCTGCTCAGGACGTGCTGCAGCAGAGCCTCTTTGCCAGCTCTGCCCTTTCCAACGCTGACCCATGAGAAGGGGGGGTGCTTTTCTACGGTTCAGATGGCCAAGATCCCCCCTCTCGTTTCAGAAAGCGGGATCCACTTGGCTGGGGGTAGGGGTGCCAGTCCTGCAGAGTGCATGGCTCCCCAGGTGGTGCTCAGTCCATCCTAGGAGCAAGCTGTGTTTGTCCAGCACCCCTCTGGCCTTGGGAATGTTGTTCTGCAGTGAAAGTACTGAGCCTGACTTTTTGGCCAGACTGTTTTCTTTCCCTTTACAGACCCTGAAGCTGCCAACAGGCAGAGATGGGCCTGTTTTGTGCCCTGAATTTCTGCATCGTGTGCCCTTTCCTCTCCCACACCCTTCTAGAGCTCTCCATTACGGAGAGCTGTGCATCCAGGAGCAAGCCCATCAGCGTGCTGACCGTGACCAGATGGTGCCAAAATAGGTGGTGGTGGGTGCAGCGTACCCCTGCCAAGCCCCTTCTCGCTCCCTTCTGCTGCTGCAAACCTTGGCCCCACACAGGCTGAGGCAGCATTGATGGAATTGCAGCCAGCTTGGTGAATAGCTGAGTTATTAAACAAAGGTGCTAATTAGTCAGATCTCATTAATGTTGTTGCTGTTCTGGCAGTGATGCCTCTGGCACAGAGGAGTGCTGCAGGTCTCGGTGAAGCTGTAGGCTCCGGGCAGGCCCTGCACTATCGGTGCTGGCACGTGGCACCGTCTGCCATCCCACCGGCACGGCACTGCGCTTCCTCGGGCTGCTGCAGCCACTGCCAGCGTGCTCAGGGTGGGCTGAGACCCCGCCGGCTGCCCGGGGGTGCTTGGGCATGGAGCCAGCCCCCGCAGGGCTCCCCTGCCTTCCCAGGGCCCTTGCAGGGGGCTGAAGGGAGAAGGTGGTGGCTTGGGTCTGGCGTGCCACTTGTTACTCTCTTAGCTGATGGGGTCACCGTCCGCTTTTCCCCTGCCTTGGAGGTTTCCCTGCCCTCTGGGGCAGGCAGTCACACGTGGAGTGCTGTGGCACGGAGGGAGAGGAGAGGTGCTCGTCCTTCCCTGCCCAGCAGGACGGGATCTGGCTAGGCAAGGGGAGTCATCCCAGCTGGCTCTGCTCCCCGTATGTCCGTCCATCCATCCGCAGCTGGGTCTGCAGCCTGTGCCAGTGCTGATGGCATGGATGGGACTGGGGGGCCCCTCGGAGTCGGGGCAGCTCACTGGCTGTCTGCTGAAGGAGACAGGCTGCGATAACAGGGGTGCTCTGTGTCACGACCTGCTG